TTTTGAAGATTTGATCAAACAAGTATGGTCATTAAATTCAAACCACAACATCCAGGCAATAGCTCTGCAGCCAAAAATTATTAATTTTACACCCTACTTAAATACAAATCGTTCTAAAAACAAAGTAAAAACCAGCTGTCATATGCCAGTAATGCATATTTCATTAATTTCAGAAGCTCAAAACATTAACATTGACCACATAATAGCAGCATGGCTAATGATCTGAGCTGATCTTTGTGCTTTAGAACAGAAAAGCACAATACTACTACACTCCTAAAGATAAAGCAGACGTTTAAAAGGGCATATGAAACAGTAACAAATGACATTCTATAATAAAACCCACACAATTACAGTGTAATAGACACAATGAGTAAACAGACTTGAAGATCCATTTGGGGGGGGACTCTTGAATGATTATTACTGGACATACAGCCTCGCCTAGCAGCCATCGATGTTTATGCAGCACCTCTACTGCACACATTCACGCGCTGAAGTGAGAACTGACAGCTAACACGCACGATCTTCCAGTCTGTGATACAGTAGTGAACTACGATTTTGAAGAATTAAAGCTTGGAATTTATTATTATTTAAAAGGCGTCTTTAATGCATATTTAAACTGATTCTGAAGCGTTTCCCCCTGGTTTATCAGGCCTGTGGGTGGCTTTCAGGAGAACACAGATGCTGTAATTCACAGCCCCGAGCTCTCCCACACAGGCGTTTACAGCCAACAGATCAATGTCTACGCATCTGGAGGTACTTCAGAGACACCGTCTCTTTTCAGATGGCCTCCGACACTGGCTGCCCTTGAAATCTAACACCAGATAACTACTTATAACGTTGTCAGGCATTTCAATACTTTATCATTCATGTATGTGCACCGGTACATGTTCAAAGACCAAGGTGTTTAGGCTTCTCAGGAGAAGCCTCTGACAAGCGATGCGTTGCTGTGGTGTGTACATGCACGCACGTGTACTTGTCAAGAGACTGACTTTAATACTTAAGAAGGCAGGCAGCTCATTTATCCACTGAACATGCTGAATGAGCAGCACCAACATAAAATTTTTCTGGCTTATGTCTCCTGAAAGAAAAATTCTGTATTACCACAGAATGGATGATCTAACAGACCCTCTTCAGCTCAAATGTCCGTGATTGCAAGTGACTTAGTGATGGGAATAGGACTACGGGAGACTGCGGCTCAGTGAAAGCAGCTTTGCTGATACCAAACATCAAGCTTCATTATACCAGAGGGTTTTGTGATGTGTATTCATAGCCCTGAAGAACAGAAAACAGCTTCAAAGAGATGACACGCTGACTGCTGTTTTTAGATCCAGCCTGCTGGTGACGAAACCAAAATACTAAAAAAGTTTTTAATTGTTCCACCTAGTCCCTGAGCCATTCTGCTATCATTTTTATAAAATGCTGGAAAATAATTTGTGCTGGTTTTGGCTGGGATAGAGTTAATTTTCTTCACAGTAGCTAGTATGGGGCTGTGTTTTGGATTTGTGCTGTAAACAGTGTTGATAACACAGGGATGTTTTCGTCACTGCTGAGCAGTGCTGACACACAGTCAAGGCCTTTTCTGCTCCTCACCCCACCCACCAGCGAGCAGGCTGGGGGGGCACAAGATGCTGGGAGGGGACACGGCCGGGACAGC